CAGCACTGCTTCATGTATTTAACTTGTGTCAGATTTCTAAAGACTCTGAGTTACCTGGGCAGACAGTGGGTGTCCAGGCTAGGTGCAGACTGGGGCTTGTGAAGTTCTGCACGAGCCTTCAGCTGTATTTTCTTAATGGCTTTCTCTTTAATTGTCACCCTTTGTTCCTGACCTTGTTGCTCTGCTTGGTAGTTGTGTTCATTGTGCACTAAGTCACTTCTTAATCTGCACAGAGTAAGATGCACTACACGATCCTAAAGTAAATAAAAATGCATTTGTTCCTTTCTGTAATTTCAAATAAGATGCTGGTGGGTTAGGAACAGTTTTGAAGAATACGTCTGGTTGAGTGAGGCTGATGGAAGAACTGCAGCAGTCGCGTCCTGTGCACATCCAGCAAATGCACAATATACCGAGCAGCTCGGCATCTGGGAGCATCGTTTTGCCCCAGTATGTTCATCAGATGAAGTAGTTATTTGACAGATTGATCATGGAGCTTCAACAGGAACTGTACGTTACCTTCTTTTTAAGTGGAAGGACACTTGGGAAGAACATTTCTGTTGGTGTTTTAGGGATAGGATGTGTTGTTAGCTTTTAATAGAACATGGAAGATGAAGTTGGTGACAAAAAAGTCTTTTGTTTGAAGATGACTTGAGTTTTTGCTTTTGTTGATGTATTTGCTCTTTGGTTAGCTTTTAGTAATAGTGATTTATAAAGAGGGAGTAAGTGGTTGCACTCAGTGTGTATTTTAACAATACATCTACTTTAAATACAAAAATTCATGAAAGATATATTGTGAAATTGTCTAGACCTTCTGCTCACTGAGAGTTAGAAGTTTAAATATGCCTTTCCTCCAGTTCCCCCATAATGGAAATAAAGGGTGCTATCGACTTATTTTTAGTTACTGGATTTAAGAATGGGACTTGAACTGTAATAGGAACTCCAGTTGGTTGTGTTATATCCAGCCTGGCCTAATAGATTGGAGCTGAAAGTGTTGCCAGCTGGAACACGCATTTGTGTTATCTGCATGTGTGTTGTAACAGATGTTGAGCAGAGGCTGCTTGTCAAAGGTACATTGTAGTAACTTTTAAAGATCCTTGTTTGTTTCAGTACGTTTTTCTTGCATCACTAATTTTTTCCATAAAGTCAACCACGAACTGCATTATTGGGAGCTCCAGCTAAAGCTTGTGGTCAATAGGAAATAGATTAAACACAGGTTTTCCCTTTTCCATGCTTGCCAACAGTGATGTCAGTGGTTTTAATGATCCTTACCTCAGCTCACTGTAGTCCTAGTGCTCTCTATTAAAACACTTGCCTTCCACGCTGTTTTTATATGTTGTTAAGGAAATGCTTATGGTTGTTGATAAGAAACAGTGAGGTATCTAGCTGATGACTTCAGTACCTTATAAGGTGCTTCCGCCTTGAAACATATTGTAATAATTCTCTGAAAAGAGAGAAAATTATGCCAAAAAATTAAGTATTCTTTTGAGTCTAACAAAGAACATGTGTACACTAAAATTGAGGATGGGGCTTTTAGCTAGAAGTTATGTGCAATCAGGAATTCCCTGGATCAGAGCCTTCCAGTGGACTGTCGGCAGTTGCCTGGAGCAGCAGCTTTCCCTCAGAAGGGCTGCTTTCTGGGCACTCCTGTGCATAAAGGCAGAACAGGCGCCTCTGCCATGTCATAGCAGCGGGGGTGGATGTTCTCTGTTATCCAGTTCTTCTATTGCAGAAAAAGATTTTTAAGAGGAGTTGGGGAGATGAAAACAATCATTGCGGTCAGTAACCTCACAGGGTGGATAGTAGTCTTCGTTTTTTTTCTGCTCGTGAAATTAGAAGGAAACTTCTCCTTCCCTGTGTTGTTTGGTTTTGGTTTGTTGGTTGTTTTTGAAACTGTAGAAAATGTACGGCAGGTTTTACATATGTGCATTACCACCACAATAGCTTGAGTTAGGGGTTGTTACATTAAACTCAAGTTTGAAAGTTGGTGTTGTTTTCTTTTGTTAGGCCAAATTAATAAATATTTTCTAATGTTGGTGAGCAGTAGGAATTCTTAAAAATAACTTCTAAAAAGTACTTTTTAATCGTGCTGGTTACAGGGTCACTGAGGTTTGTGAACTGGAATATCGGTAGTCTCTACAGTGACTGACGGCAGCTGAATTGTGGTCTGGTAATACTTTTTCTGCTTGACAAGTAGTTTTCCATATTGTACTTCTGGACATACTAGAGGTGCAATAACAAGCAGGAAGACAGGGCCCATGTCCTGCCTCCTCTTGTACTGGCAACTGAAGTTTATAGGAAGCACAGCCTGGTTCTGTTCACACCCTGCACGACTCTGTCTTCATCTGGAGTTTCAAGCTCTCCTGCTTTTTTTCCTCATTTACACATGCTCAGGTCTTTTAAGATTCAAAGATGCTGTAACTGATTTTCTTTAGTGCTGTTTGCTTTGTTAATTCCTCTGGGAAGTGTTTTCTTTTTCGTAGAGACTTGTTAACTCTTTCCTCATTTACTCTTCTGACTTCTTAAAATAGCAGTTGCAATGTGTTCCCAGTTGTGTTGGTTGAATGGGTGATGAATTGCATTGGACAAAGGCAGCACCCTTGGCAGTCACAGGTTTTATTTTCTAGATTATATATTTCAGTTGAGATTACCTGAATGCTAGTGTAGAAATGTCATTTTCTGTCTTACTGTTGCAAATTATTGTTTAAATATTTAAATATCTTAACACAATAAGTTCCAATGATGTAGGACACCTGTCTCCTTCATCTTGCCTTGCCCAGGCAGAGAAGCTGAGACTGGTGGCCTTGCCAGTGGTCACTAAACTCTTCCTGCGGCCCTGCTGCACCCGGAATGGTTGGGAAATGGGCACTTTGCACACATTATACTTCAGTTTCGTTTAAGCCATTTCTACTTTGTCATTAGTTTTTATTAATACTGTATGGCATTACTGGCTAATTTTAGGTTAAGCATAGTTGAAAGCTGCAAAGCTCTGCAAAGCTGTATATAGATATTTGGTTCAGAACATTCCAGGAGGTTGCAATACAAGCGCAGAAGAAAGTTGAAAGTAAATAAGAGATCTGTGAGATAATTCTCTGGGGAGTTTCACAGCATACCACACATCAATTGCAAGGATAAACTTTCCTTTCACTTGAAGGACCACAGAAGATAAATTTGTTTCTTGGGCAATTAAAGAATGTAGGACAGGAGGTCTTTTCAGTTTTGTACTTCAACGTGTGTATTAGAAGTCTATTTGTTTATTTGTACTGAGGAAAATGCACTATTTACCTATATTTTCAGGAGCTTAGTTAATATTTAATATAGAAATAGTCACACATTTATGTAAAGTCTGTCTTGCTTCATCAGTTTTTGTGTGAAACTCCCAAAATGAAAATGAGGTTGTCCTCTAACCAATATTCATTTGTGGGTGTGTTGTTCAGGCTTCAGTAAGTATGGCTACTTCCCACTGTAGTGCAAAGAGAGAAGCTCTGGGGTTGTGTATCCTATTGCTTGGAGGCTGGGATGCAGTTGGACTTAATGACCTTTAAGGTCTTTTCCAACTTGAGCAATCCTGTGATTCTATGTGGCTGCCTGCTTGTGGGCTCTGTGTGGGCCTGCAGCTGGAGCTCTTGCTGGTGCCCTGATGTGTGACTCTGACCCTGGTTCTTCCAGCAAGATCGTGTCCTGCCAAGGGCTGGAGAGTCTGCTAGGGGATTCCCAGTAGGATACAAGGCAGGTCAACACCGAGTCTCACTCCATCCTCTGTTGCTCCTGTAGATGTACCCCATAAGAGTGCTTCTATTGTTGGCCTATTCTATTGTGTAAAGTCAACCGAAATGCAGAGATGGGAATGGACTTGAGGCATCTGCATTGTGTGCTAGATTAAGAGGGCTAGAGCGGAGATGATGAGAATCATTCAGTGACAGAATCATAGGATACCCCAAGTTGAAAGGGACCCACAAGGATCCTCAGGTCCAGCCCCCCGCTCCAGAAGGACCACCTAAACCCCATCTCTGAGAGCAGTGTCCAAATGCTTCTTGAACTCTGCAGCTCAGGCTGTGCCCACTGCCCTGGGATCTGTTCTGTGCCCTACACCCTCCATGCCGCCTCCATGCCGTTCCCTCAGGCCTGTGTTTGTCACACAGAGCAGAGCTCAGTGCTGTCCCTCTGCTCCCTGTGAGGAGCTGCAGCCACCACGAGGGCTGCCCTCAGCTCTTCTGCTCTGGGCTGATCAAACCCAGGGCCCTCAGCCAATCCGCTTGCACTTTACCCTCTAGACCCTTCTCCATCTTTGTAGTCTTCCATTGGATGCTCTCTGATAGTTATATGTTCTCTTGTGGTGTCCAGAACTGCACACAGTTCTGAAGATGCAGATCAAAAGCAACTTTTGGCATTTGCTCATTAGTAAACCTGTGCTACGGAACATAAGTAATCCTTATTAGAGTTGCAGTACCTTGTTATTTCCATAGTCCTCTGTCGGAGAAAGAAATAAAATGTAAATACGTTTATAGACTTTAATAGGCTTTTCTGGGTACAGTTATTTTCTAATTTATGTGTCAATGGTGAATGGTGGTGCTGCACCCCTGATGCTCAGTCATCCTTCTCAAGCAAAACATGGTATCTTCCACATGTTGGGCAAAAATGCCAGCAGCAGGGTAGTTGTTTGATCTTTTTTTGTTTTGTCATAGGAGTTTTTCTGGGGTAATCTGTATAATAATTAATAATAATTGAATTGTTTTTGCTTAGGTGAATCTCTTGCAAATCTAAATGTATTTCTGGCTGCTTGTAATTTCATTGCCGACATCTGTTTTAAATGTTCTTTAAATGCTTGAGTACAGTTCAAATGTGTATGCCATAATTTTTCAAGGTGCTAACGTTTTCAGTTCAAGTGATAACACTTTAAAAAGGGGGGAAAAAAAAAGTGGAGGGTGTCAGGGTAGATGTGATAATTACAGGAAAACTTTACAGTGCCCGTGATGCTAATTTTCTTTCTCTTTCCTTTTCAGAATGATGACCTATACAACCTCAGCAAATCCTTCTTTTAACTCATGGGTATCAAGACTCTAAATGTTTCATGTTACCACAACTAGGACCTCACCTCCTCCTCCTCCTCTTCCTCTGTAAATGGGTACGATGCATCCAGTTCAGTTTGTTTACTTTACACAAACCTCAGGAGTTAGTTGACTGAGCTGCACATCCTGTGTTGTGCCAAGCAGAAGCACTGTGACACCTGGACTATGAGTCTCTCTTAATCCTCTACCGTAAGGACTTAGCTGGCCACAGTGAACTGATGTGCCCACCACTGTGTCGTGGTGAGAATGGGTATTTTACTAGCACATTTACACAACTTCATTTGCTGCTGAAAACCTGTATGACAAATCATCCTTGTAAATTATTACATACAAAACTTAATGTTGGTTGAAGAGTATTAAATATTTAACATAGGTTTTGATTTATACATGTACTTTTTTAATTAAAATGTAACTTTTCCTACAGCACATCTTTTTTGATGTGGAACTGAGGTATACTATATTCTGTTGTAAACAGAGTGGGAAACCTGCTTAAAACAAGGCTTCTAAGAATAGAGTAGGGTACTATTCTTGTTTTAAGATTGTAATTCAGAAAATAATATAATACGAGTCATTGGTCCCCGGGCCTTGATTGTACAGTCATATTTGCTGATACTATCAGTTGTAAGATAACCCTGATGCTGAACTGATTTCTTTCCAGAAGAAAAGTAATTTTGTACTCCTTGTAAAATAATAATCTGTATTAACTGCAATGAAGACAAACTTTACTGTACATGATATTTACAAGTGTCAACTTGAATTCGTCAATTGCACAGAAACTGACAAAAAATCAGAAAAAAAGAAATCAAAGTCTTCCATTGTATATATTGTAAAGAATAGAAATTAAAAAAAAAAAAAACAAAAAAAACACAACAGAAAACTACAAAACAAAATGAAAACAAAGGGTGAACTTTTCAAATTAACTCTTTCCCTGGAATGAAAATGTGGGTGTTTGTAAATTCTGGAAATCTCTTTCTATATGTAATAAACTAGATACTGTTTTATCTGCTGTAGTTTGTTTTTCTTGGTGAACTGCCTCAGGTATCTCAGATTGCCCCACTGTAGCTTTCTTTGATGTTGCTACTGTGCCGATAAGAGTGGCTGTGGATCACTACCATCTAAGGACATCGGGTACAGTTAGATGTCGTAGGGAGTGCGCTTTGTAAAGGGCCGGTGAAAAACATTCTGCCTTCTGTGATATGCTTGGATATTTCACTAAAGATCTCGTTTCATTGTTCTGGTGAATCTTCAGGATACAGTCCTCCTTCCATTTATGTCAGTGGGAGAGTTCTAAGCAAGTTAAATCACTGAAAGCAAGATAGCAGCATGAAATGTAAAAACAGCGACCAAGATGATTGTCTGGAAGTTGGTGCAAGAGGAAGAATGAAGAATTCTTCTGCGACTTATTTCTGTGCTTTACTCTGGCTCTTTGTGTATATTGTTATTTTATGTGTAGCATTTGCAGAGTCCTAGTTCTTTCTGGGTCTGGAGAAGTAATGAAATTGGAGATCTCAAAGCAAAATGTTGTTGACATGATAAGAGAACAGGCTATTTCAGGTCCCTGTTGGTCATCGCTCTTGCTTCTGGAAAGCAACTTTATGGACCAGGGTGCATTTGACAGAATTCTTGTTATCAGGAAAAGGCAGGTGCTCGGTGCACCAGCCCTCCATAGAGGATGGGAGGATAGCTGTCAAACTCTCCAAAAAAAAAAAAAAAAAAGAAAGGATTGATTTCCCCTGAGATGTTTACGATGCATTCCCTTCATCTATATCGTTTTTTCACCTGGCTGTCATCTTGGATAAAACAGTATTTTATGACCATTGTGCTTTGCATTGTTTCAGATAATTTGCATGCTCTAGCCATAACTGAAACATATTTGTAGGTACTGGAAGCTACTATTAAATTTTAAGAGGCATTAGCTAGCACCTGTAATCCAGGTAACTACTTTGAATTGACACATCTATGAGCACATCTTGTTTAAAACGTTTGATGTTTTAGAATAACTAGAAATTGGTAAAGGTGATTATGTTGGTTGGAAAAGCTATGTTATGAACACATATGAACACATTCACTGTGTTTACATTAGTAGTTCTCTTCCTTAGTAAAATTAAACCTGTTTAGCAAGTGTGTTTTGAGAATACTTAATATGTAACCAAACAATCCTCTTGATGCTTTTTTTTTTCCGTAAAGGTTCTTACTAATTCAAGACTTCATTAAATAGACTGCAACCCCTTATAAATTAAACCTCTTATAAATTAAAGTGGAATTGCCTCAACAAACAGTGCTATCCTATCTTATTCTTCTATGTATTCTATTGTTGTGTCTGTGACAACAAACTTCGTAATTTTTTAAGTTTGAAAATGGACAGTGATTTCTGTCCTGCATCAGATAGTAAGGCTCAGCTGCTCCAGAGTTCATTTTGCTATGATTTTTTTTTGACTGGAAATTGGTGATTATTATTTGAGTTTCTTTTTGAGTCCATTGCTGTGACAGCTTTGGTTTTCAAAAAGGACTATATTGAATGCATTTGTTAGTGCTATTGGTTGAAAATGAGTGAGATTGTAAAAACAGTTTGAAGCAGTTTCCAGAAGTACTAGCAGTGCTTATAACTTCTTCCTCCCCACCCCCGATAATTGCTGTTTTAAAGCTTGATTTGTTGCTGAGTTGATACATGTTGTGGAGCTCTATATCTTTCTAGTCTTTTATATTAACCTCTTTAATTAGCATTTCAACTGTCGTGTGTCTTCTGTAACGTTTATGAATTTTTTCCAGCAGAAGTACAAATTCAGAAAAGAAAAAGGGAGCACCACATTTGTAGGCATACTCCGATGCTGCAGACTTACTTTCTGCATATTTAAGAACTAAGCATCCGTGTCCATCTTGCTATCAGGTGACTTCTAGCTGAAGCTATTATTCATGCCCTCTATTACATTCAAGGGCTATGTAATGAGTAGTATGTGCTTAAATGGCTCCTATCAACTCAGTGTGTGCCGTTTTTTAGTTACATAACTTGGCTGTGCAGTAACAGAGATTAACACTGCAGTATGCACAGCATTCACATTTGCTTTTGAAATCATTAGCTGAAGCTGGTACTTGGTAGGAGCTTAAGTACAGCATGTCAGCTAATGATTGAATCACTCTGGATAGATGCTTGAATGCTTTATTCTGCAGCTTAGCTCACCTAAGCTAGCTTACTTAAAGAAGTGAAAACGAGCAATAACCCACCCTCACTCTCTTGAAGGCATTTGTCCGTCTCTTGTGTGACCTCCCAGCCATCTTTGGGTGCAGTATGCATTTTTGGTCTGCAAGCCCTTGAGACTGGTTCACTGGTGTAAGGTGACAGTATTCTCACTTGTTCAGTTCATCTTGCGTGTATCTGTTCACTAGTAATTTGGGTATGACTTTGAATATATCATAAATGAACTTGTTTTGAACCTACCGGATGCCCGTATGAAATTTTCCAGACTATAGGATGGAAAACGGAAGAAAAAATGGGGAAATGAGAAAAAAAAAATAGGACTTTCAGTTTGTAGAAAGGCACTTTCTTTTTTTATCTTCTGTTCTCTGAGATGCTACTATTCACATAACGGATGAAATGAGGAATCTAGCTGGGATGAGGAGGACCATGGTCTGTGCTGTTCACTGCTTTCCAAATATATGTTCTGAAAGAACGTTTCTGCATGAGAAGAAAAGGTGGAGGCTAATTTTAAAAAAGCAGCGTTGTTACAACTTCTGTGTTTAAATATTTTCGGATTGCAAGTTTTGAATTCTACATTTGGGCTCATAGCAATGGGATAATCAAATGTTTGTGTATGCCTGCAGTGGGTGGGCCCCTGGGAGGGAGGGCAGTAAGACATAGGACGCCTTGTACCTTGTGATTTGTGCCAGCAGGACAGAGGATGTTTTCACTAAGAAGCTCTGTGACGTTCTGATCTCTTGATCTGACTTGATTGGTGGTTTGAAAAATGGTGCTTTGCATAACCAAGATGCATAGGGGGATAAAAAAAAAAGAAGGACATGGAGAAGTGACTGCTTTGGAAATTCCCATGACATTGCACAACTTATGGAAAAGCTCTAATTTGGTGGGTGCCATCTGGCTGCTGGGACCCCAGTCTGCCATTTCTGCTCTATTAGGATTCTTGACAGTAGTATTTGGAGACTGGGAGTAAAACAATAAAATAAAATCTATGTGCCCTCTATAGATTAAACCAATGGAATACTCGTCTTGGTAGAATCAAGTTATCTGGAGGCAGATAAATAATACTAAATGAGAACGACAAGAAGAAGAGTCACTGTGTCATGGCTGAAAAAAGTTACTGTGCTTTTTCAGTTGCTTTCAGGCCCTATGTTTATCTAATGCAAACGGAGCACGTAAATGAGTATTTAGAGGAAAAAGACCTGACTGGAGAACTTGCCTCCCGTGTTTGCGGAGGGTGGAGTGTTGTTGGGAAAACAATTACAACAGCACCGATGCCTCAGAATTGATAGAAGTACAGGAAAACATCTGTAGCGTTTTGGAGAGGAAAGGTTCCTCTTTCAAGGTCTGTTTGACAATTAGAATTTTCTGGCATTGTAAATATATTTTATGTGGGAGTCACAGACTCAGCCATTCTTGTATATTTTATTTTTTTTAATTTCAGAAGAAATGTCGCCCAGTTTGACTCCCTGCTTTTGTGATTGAACCGTCCCAATGTGGCAGCAGGCCTGAAGGCCAGGCGCTGCTCCTGGGGCGGTGCATGCAGGGCTTCTGGCGGGAAAGGCCTCAGCGCCTGCCCTGCTTAGCTAGGAAGCCACGGCTCCTGCCTCTTGTTGTTTGTCCACCTGTGGTGGTGGTTGTTTTTTAAGAAACCTTATTATCAGTTAGGCTAAGTAGAATGTCAGCCATCCCACGAATCGTTTATTGTCAACAACGTATTGAAATGTCAGAGTGTTGTCCTCCTTGGTTTTACTTGGACAGTGGGACGCTGCCCCTTTAAATTCCCTCAGCGGGTAGTGCTGCTTTTCCACATCTCTGAGCATTAGCCAAAAGAAGGTATAGGATTTATAACTTTATCAGTTTATTGCTTTACCTTCAGCTGGTGAATAAAGAACAGTGTTTCAGTTCTTTTAAACTAGCATTTGGTCATCTTTCCCTCAGCACAGCCCCAAGCTGCTGTGCACTGTAGCTGAGGCGGCTTTACCACACTGTCTGGCTTTCCTCAGCTACATGGCAGAGTAATCTCACTCGCATGTCAGTTTGCCTTTATCAGCGGTGTGCTTTGCATTAATTTCAGCTTCCCAGCGTGCCCGTGAGGGCCATAGTGCAGTCTGTGCTCCCTGGCTTCCCTCAGTAACGCAGTCCCACCTCACCCCTCCAGACTCAGTGCCACTTCAGCATCCCGCAGCAGAAGGTAAGCTGAAATTTTGCTCTTTCTGCCAGAAAGCAATTTGCCTGGGCTTCCTCCTTCCCTGGCTCCCTCTGTGAAGCGACCTGGTAATCCGTTGGCTCAATGCCGGTTCCTCAGTGGTGTGGGTAATCCTGAGGGTTGCCATCCGAGGTGAGAGATAAGGAGAAGGACTCGAACATGACATATGTGTGTGAAAGATCAAGGCACTTCTGCCTGCTGTGTTATTTTTAAAACGAGAGCTAACAAAGACACAGGCTGTTTGTTCTTGCCTCCTCCTGAATGCTGTCAGATAAAACCGTTAATATTATTGTCTTAGTTTTCTGCGCGCAAAATGAGTGATTTCACCTTCCTCACAGAGATGTTGGATTAAGTAAAGAAGAAGCTCTTGATTCCTGCAGTACTGGGCTGCACAGAAATACTTGTAGAGAGAGAGTGTGAGCTTTGTTGTTGCAGGGCAGTAACACTGCTCAGCCCTTCATCTCTCTCCAGGTTTCACTCTCCACTTTAATACTTCCTGTGTTCTCTTCAGTGTTATCTCACTCACTCAGATCTCTTGGCTGCTGGAAGGTCCCATTCTTTGTCCCATGATTTGCCCAGCAGTCCCTTGCTCTTGTGTT